AATGTTTACCCAATAAATTAGGGAGTGAATACAATGAAGACAACTATCAACTACCTACTCTCTCCCCAAGGCAAACCTCACCCTGGGAGGCTCCAGAGTCTCTCCTCAGCCACCTACTGTGTTCTGTCCTGCACTAATACTGGAGCCATTCCTCAACCATGCAACAACACGATTCTAATATCCACCTAGTGTCATTTCTCACTTAATTGTTTTTGTTGTGAAAAAAAAAAAGTTATATAATGCTACATATATAGTATGGCATGGCTCATTATATATTGTTATTTTTTAATGAATTAAATAAATATTTAATACTTTCTCAATTTCAGTTTCTAAGATGATTAAATTCATATATTATCACTCTTTAGAATCTGCTTTAGAAAGAAAGCCGTAGAAAGAAGTCCTGAAACATTTGATAACTTATGTCAAGTTCCTTACCTTTTTCAATCCCTAATTCTCCTTCTCTGCCTATTTGGTGGTCTTGAGGTGGTTCCACAATGAATGGTTGAAGCAGCCCTAAACTAAAGCCCAGCATGCTGGGACTCCAGGGAGGTGTAAGAGAAGACATTTGGGGGTTGGCAAGGGGCCTTTCTATACCTCCTTTTCACCCAGTTCTTCTGGGGTGCTCTGATATTCCAACCTTTTTATCAGTCTCTCACCAGCATCCTGGTTTCCCACCCCTGCATAGACTTTCTATAAAACCCCTTACCAACCCCCAAATGTCTTCTCTTACACCTCCCTAGAGTCCCAGCATGCTGGGCTTTAGTTTAAGGCTGCTTCAACCATTCAAGCCCTTAAATTTCCTTCAAATGTTTGCCTGAAATATTTTCCAATCTTCTATACACTTAGGGACATTTGGTGTTATCAAACTGTGTTGATGATACTACTTAGTGTATGACATATTGACGCTATTTGTCCATTGAAGGCCACGCTTTCAGTTTTCTCCTCTTGTTCACTATACCCAATTTCATTTCTCCCCTCCCAGAAATATCCACTCTAGAGTATATTGTTTTCCTCTAATATTTGGCATAAATAGATTTAGATTGTGTATGCCCTAGAAAAAGTATTATTTTGCATGTTTCCAAACTTATATTATGGCATTGAATCCAACTTTCCTCAACATGGTACTTAAGCCTTGCCTTGATGTCATCTGCAAATCCAGTTCATTGCTTCTGACTACTGCAGAGCATTCCCTCTCAGGCAGAGTTCACCTTCCTTAGACACTTCCCTAGTGGTAGACTCTCAGGTGATTCCCAGTTAGTCTAGGTCTTTGATACTAGGTTTTCTCACTAAGTAAAAGTATCCTTTTCTAACAATTATTTGATGATTGGTTCTTCCAAGTTTCTCCAACTATCATGCTTCCAGTTTGGGGCCATCACATACAGATCTGTGAGCATCAATTCCTTGTACATGCTCCTGAACACACCAAGCCTTTAAGATCCACTGTGGCTTAATAAGGAACTTGACATACTAATATTGCTACTGCAGCAGAGAAGGCCACAGAGCACACGATTGGGGTCTAGAAGACACATTTCCCAACTATGTTACCGTGGGGCTCTGCTTACAGGGGCTAAGGATAACCACATATCTCTTGGAGAACTGGTGTGGGTGAAATGATAGGGTAGGAACAAGTACTTTTGTAAAGTAGGAAGTGTTGCTGGGTTATGTATTCTGTGGAGGTGGAGAAGACAGACAGAGGAGTCCAGGGCAGGAGAGGCAGAGAAGCAGGCTCAGAGGCACTGAGGAGACACTTGAGATACCCTGGGCTCCTTGACCCTCAAACAGCGTTTACTCCCAAAAGTCCTGGGGGAGAACCCAGTTCTGTGTGTTTTACTGGCTGTGTGGTCACAGACAAGAGCTCGCCCAGATCAGTGGTTATCAACCTGGCTACACACTAGACTCCCATGGAGAGTGTTAACAAGTATAGATCCTGGGGACCCCACATCTAACCAATTATACCAGACTCTCCAGGGGCTGTGACCTAGCCTGAAACCAGCAGTTTTGAGAACCACTGTTTTCAACCCTGAGTGATTCTTGTTTTTTTTTTTTTCCTGCCAGTTCATGACACTGGCCACAAGATGGTGCCCTCTTTCTAGGAAATCTTTGCTATTCACCAACCAGGCAAACAATTTTTTTTTTTCCCATTAAATAATCCTGTAAGAATGGATTTTAACGATCTTCACATAGTCCCAATAAGCAAGAATTCTGTGCCCTTGGAATCTTCACATTGTCTCAATAAGAGTTCTGCGCCCTTGGTGTCTAGACACTTAATGTGTATTTGCTCTCCTCTGCTACAAACTGTGTTGGGCGGGGATGTGTTGTCTATTTTGCATTCTTCAAGGGGTTAGAATGCAAAACAAAGTAGGCATTTGTTGCTTTATGATCATTATTACTAGTGTCAATAACAACTATTAATCCTTTACCACTTGCAAAGTGTTTTTCAACAACTATCCCCAGAATAAGTATGAAGTGGGTATGTTATTCTCACCTATAGATGAAGAAACTGAAGCTCAAGCACTGGATCAAGATCATAAAGCAAAGTTGGCAGAAGTAGATCCTCACCCTTCCCACTATGCACTGATGAGAAGGTCAGGCACATCACAGAGAGCAGCAGTCAATAGCCAGGAACTAGAAAAACAGTCCCAAGTGAAGATGCTTCTCAGCACATCTGGAAGATTTCCAAGGCAAGCAAGAGACACAATTAGTTTTAAGTTTCATGCCATCAGACACAACAGGTAAGTAAGGAGACAGTGGGCTGTGTGGCCAGCCAAGGTAGCAGGTGTGAGGTTCCTGACATGAAGTTGGACAGTCAGCAGACACAAGAAGATAGATTTCATTATTTTTCAGTATTCTGTTCCAGGAAAATAAGTTGTTTTAACTGTGGGGAAAACTAATCTTCACTCTGCCTTTATAAAAAGTTGAAAACTCATCTTCAAAAAAATCTTTTTCAACTAGCAAGTCATGTTTTGTGAGGTTAATGAATGTGATAAAGATCATCTAGGAGATCACAAGATTGATTGTAGTTTTGCAGTCAGATAGATTCCTCCCCACTTGGTCAGGAATGTATAATGCAGCCTTTCAATGCAAATTTTTAGGGCCTCAGGAGCCCAACCTCTCTTTGGGTGCTTTTATCACAAATGAAGGGGCTATTAAATATAAACTCAAGCTCCTGATGGTAGAAAGATTATTTTCAGGGCAAAAGCAGTTAAATGGAATTTAACAGACTAGTATTTTGATGATTTCACTGACCCCAATATACATCTTAGCAACTCAGTATATTCAGTTATTTTCTATACCTCAAGTTCCACTCCTATAAAATGATAGGAATAGTGCCCATCTTAGAGATTGTTATAAAGGTCAAAACAATTTATAAAGCACTTAGAACCACACCACATTAAACACTTTGTGTTTAATGTTAAAGAAACAAATGATATGAACATATTCTTTTAATGTGTTTTACAAGTTTAAATTTTTTTTCAAAATTCCAAATAATTCTGAAATGCTTTTTGCTCACTTTCAAGTAGAAAAAATATACTTCAGGAGGATTAATGTATCGCCTTATGATTAAATTTGAAATCTGACTGAAAAATGCATATAATTGGTTAGAATGCTCTACAGTCTTTTCGGTCTTATGGATGTCAGAAGTAGGTTAAACATCCGTTAAGTCTACCTTAAGTCATTAAGGAAGCCTATTCACTGCCAAAAGAAATATAAGAACAATGCCGTGATTGGATTTTGTCTCCTTTTTAAGATTTATTTTTTGTCTCCTACTTTTTAAGATTTTCTTTTTTAAGATTGGACTTGGTCTCCTTTTATTTAAGATTTTTTTATGCATACAAGAGGTGGGTATAGACCAGAGGTGCGGGATCTGGGGTGGGGGATGGGGAGGATTCACCAAAGACCAAGTGAGGAGCAGAACAGGCAGATCCACTGAAATACACTGCTGAGGGGAGCAGCGGGCAGGCGAGGTCTGCTGCGCCATGTGCATTAGCTCTCTGGCCGGGATTAAACTCCTGCTGCAGGGGCTGGTAATAGCTTGATAGTGCTGAGCTTAACCCCTGTGCCACCAGGAAGGCCCCTTCTTTCTCTTTTTTCAAGAAAAGTTTCCTTTCTTTCCTCTTGACTTCTCTTCTATCACCCAGACTGTCCATCTGTATAACTATCCATGCATTCACATTAACATTTATTGAGATAGCATAATTGCCCAAAATATGTGAAAAACATGAAGTTTAGATAGAAAAATAAACACTATATATTTATTGAGTTCAACACAATGATTCTGTTGTAAGTTCATTTTCACTGAGTTAAAAAAAAATTAAAATGATCTTATGAAAGTATGTAAGACATATATATGAGACTTGTATTTGTAAACTGAAATTCAGATCAAGCTACTTAATTTTTCTAAACTTCAGCATCCTTATCTATAAACAAGGATGACTATATTAACACTCTGGGATTAACTTTTTATCTGAGATCATGTAAATATCTAATACTCTAACTCACAATGTTTATTTCCCATCCTTTTCTCCCTGTCACATAACTCTTTGAACTCACTATTTTACTTCAATGAAAATATTTTAAACTACATTTAATATTCAGAAGCCTTGATTTAAATTTTTCTCTATCCCTGGGAACCTTACCTGTAATCTACTTGACTAATATGGGTTAATACTTTAATTAATGGATTAAACTTTAACTTAATGAATAAATTATTAAATTAATTATTGAAATATTAAAGTTTAATGAATAACTGACAAAGCAGATTCAAAGAGTCTACTTATGCTGACAACTTTAATCATTTGCGTTAACTCACCTGTGCCCACCCTCCAAAAATGTTTGACATTTTACCAGACTTTGTGGATTTCATTGTTCCTTTTTCCTTCCTATTATTTATTTATTTTGAAGCATTATTTAGGCTCTCGTAACAGCCCCAACCAAGATCCCATCTATGGTAATAGTTAGCAAAGTCAGGTTGCACTTGAATGAATCAAGGGATGACTCAATGCAAGACAAATTGGACTTTATTTAAGTAGCTGCTTAGGTGTTCCTTGCATTGCACTGTTCGGTTCATCTCAGCAGCAGCATGTGGGAAAGGTGCCGAGCAGCACTACACACCCAGAGCAAATTCATCTGGCGGAGCCTCTGTCCCGTGGCTACTCTGCTGTTTGGTATGCGCAGGACTCAACTGGATACAGACTCCCTCTCGACAGGCTCTCGCGGGCGCATTCGGCTCTCGCGGGCGCATTCCTGTTATCTGTCTTCCTACTGGCGTCAGACTTGGGTTTCGGCTTGTCAGTTGGAAGTTGACGTCCTTCTCTGTATTCTATGATGTCATAATCCTTGATTCCCCCCCACCCCCAATAACTCCTCAAGTAACTCTGTATCACTGGAGATCAGGTCCCACTTGCCAAACTTGATCTCGGGGAAAAAAACATATTCCGTGTCACCAAACCTGAAGGCCTGGGATCAAGATTTACTAATATCATCTGTAGCTAGAAAATTACATGCACAAGTTGATATTCTCATTATTCCTTTCAAAGCTCTCTGCATTGAGATGGAGGGTTTTTTCTCCTTCTCGTAAAAAAATGTGTTTCTATCATGCAACTATTCTGGAACTAAAGCTCAGAGATGTCCAGATACCCCATGTGTGGAGGATGGGACTAGAGAGGGGGTGGTCAGGTTCATTTGGGTTGTTTATATGAAGCCAAAATGTCTGATTTCATATAAATCTTTAGGAGTGCTGATTTTAATTTTGTGATGTACAAATAAGGCCAAATAAATAGGCAAAAGTAGATCTATGAAAGTGGCTTTAACTTACTAATCCACTACATCTCTGACAGCTATTTTAGATAAAAATGGTCCAGAGGACAAAGTGCATAATTAATGATGAGAAAATGATTCCTTCAAATTCCATAAGAGTTCTTCCTGCTCTAATCATTTATCCAGAGTTTTATTCATGCCAAAGTGATAGTTACTTCTTGCTTCTGTCCCCTTCATCCCAGTACTGTTCAGTCTGCATTTCTGTGAGCCGGGAAATGGTACGCTGAAATGCAAAGATTTCCTCTTCTCCAGTAAACATGGAGAGCCCTTCTGCTGAGCCCTGGTACCAAAAACACAAAGAAACAAACAGAAAGCCCAGTTTCAGTAAAAACCACCACAAGTGAAAATTAACAGAAGTATATATAGATTTAAAACAATTTTTTAGGTTTACCTGTTTACATTAGAAAATCTGTATACTTTTTACAAATGTGATCTCTTAAGTTAGACTAGAAAATTTATTAATTTGTAGTATGTACAGAAAATAAACAAGAGAATGACCTAAATAAAACAAAGATAGATGATTTTAAAAAAAAATCAAGATAGAGAAAACAGATAATGCCAAACTGGTAAAATGAACAATGACAAAATTAAATACTTGTGTGTATCTGTGAGTATATAACTACATAAAAGAGGATGTGAAAGAAGGGAATAAAAGCCAGAATTCCATAAATCCATGTATATTCATATGGAAAGAATTATTAAGTGAAAAGAATTAAGTTGCATAACAAGAGGTATAATTTGCTTACATTTGCATTTAAAACATATGTATATATGTACAAATCTAAAAATACATAGAATGTGTCATAAAAGACACCAAAATCTTTTTTTTAGTAAGACCTTTTCCCATTTAAGATAAAATGGGGGCCCTCCCTGATGGCGCAATGGGTTAAAGCACAGCATTGCAAGTAAGCAGCAGGCACTTCAGTGCAAGTTCCATCCTCAGCCCTGGAGGTGATCCATAGGGTACAGCAGACCTCTCCTGCTGCTCCCCTCAGCAGTATGCTCTGTAATCTGCCTGTTTTGCTCCCCACTCTGTCTTTGGTGATTCCTCTCACCGCCCCTGCACCAATGGCCTGCACCCAGTTCTGTATACATAAATAAATCTTTAAAAAAATGATAAAATGGGGCGTCCCTAATGGCACAAGGAGTGAAGTCTCAGCACTATGAAACTATGGGCAGCCACTAGAGCAAAAGTTTGCTCCCTGGCCAGGGAACTGACCCACATGGCACAGCAGACCTTTCCTTCCAGCTGCTCCCCCTCAGCAGTGCATTTCAATCTGCTTGTTCTGCTCCCCGCTCTGTCTCTGGTGAATCCACTCATCCACCACCACCCTAACTCACAGCTCTGGCATATATCCTAGCTCTTGTATGCATAAGTAAAAAATCTTTAAAAAAGCAAAAAGAAAAAGATAAAATGGAGTTACAAGCAGATAAAATATAGGTATCACAATTTAAATCAACTATGCAACAGTATATTTGCTTTGTATACTGAAAATATGTAAGCAAATTTATATTACTTACAGTAGGTGCTTAGTAGATAATTTTTTGACAGCATTTTAAAAAACTGATTTATGTATACAGAACTGGGGAACAGGCCAGAGGCACAGGGGTGGTGAGAGGATTCACCAGATACAGAGTGGGGAGCAGAACAGGCAGATCTATGAAGTACACTGCCAAGGGGAGCAGCGGGAGCCAGGAGAGGTCTGCCGCGCCGTGTGGGTCAGCTCCGGGATGGGCAGGGATCGAACCTGCACTGAAGCGGCAGCGGCCAGCTTGCAATACTGTGTCCCAACCCGTTGTGCCACCAGGGAGGGCCCTTAATATATAATTTTTAAAGAAGTTTTAATTGTAGTGCTTTTTTCTAATTTTGTTGTTAATTTTTGGACAATATATGATTTCTCCCCTAGGGTGGTCACATAGTTCTCCCACCACCAATGACCCCATCGTCCAGCACCATATTCCCTCAAGGACACCGAAATACTAATGGCAGGTACTTCCAAGGATAAGAGCTTATGGATGAGGGGGGAAAGGGTGACAAATTAAGTTTACTTTTTATTTCACATAGTTTCATTTTTCTTTTCCTTAAAAATAATGGCAGGTTGCATTTATAATAAGCTTTAAAATAAAAATAAATAAATATACTATAATAAACAGAACAAATTGCCAGGGGGAAAACATTAGAAAAATAGTGAGAGCTGAAACAATACCCAAATCCAAATGCGGAATGTTTGCTTAGATGAAAATCCTCTGCAAAACCTGAAGGAAGGGCATTCTGGACAGAAAAGGTATTCACTCTCCAAAACTGCACACCAGAAGTAACAGCATAAAGTCCGCAGTTCTGGCAAATTAGGGAGAGACTTCACCTTCCTCTGAAGCTTCAGAGACAGGACCACGCTCTCCCAGGCCCTGAGGAACAGCCTCTCAAGAGCCTTTTCCAAACTGGATGAATGAGAGGTCTCCTGTGGAGCCTGGACATTGTGACCATGACCTTACTTTGGTCTTAAATTGCTGGGACACTTGATCCTCCCATTCAGGGTTAAGTTGGGGAGAACTCTGTGAAGCCTTGGAACAGCTTGGGACTGGTGATTGTAACTTGAGCTTGCAGCTAATAAGTGGGCTCTGAGTTTTTGTCTCTTTCCTTAGGGGGGTTGCTATTATACTCTTTCAGAAAAGAGTTCTGGATTCCTAAGTCCCTGCTCCCCACTAAGACTGCATGGTCCTGCAGTCCCATGCCCTGATTTCTTTGTGGATTTTAGTACCTAGTGCTAAGCCTTCCCTTATATCTGAACCTTGACCCTAGGGTAAGGGGGAGTTGAAGAGCCAATGATTTTAAAGACTTTAGAATATGATATAGCCTCTCATGATATAGCCTCTCAAGTATATTCTTTCAAACTGGCAAAGGATACAAAGGTATGTATTGCTCTTAGAGAACCATCATTTCAAAAGATGCTACCATGTGGGTTTATTTCTACACACAGGTTTAGTAATCATATTTTGAAAGTTCACTTTTTAAAGGATTTTTTGTTTCATTCTCCCAAACTCCTGAGAATACAGAATTTCTATGCAAAAAGGAATTTGCTCCTTCATTCCAAATGGCCTTACCTCTAGGGTTGGAACAAAGGAGAATGAAAGAGGGCTCATTCAAGGGGTGAATGTTTACATAATTCTAAAATTTTGAGAATTTCAATTGTCTGTAATTGAGAAATATACTCTGCAATGTTCATACAGAAGGAGGAAATGCGCACTCACTTCTGCTTGTCTTTGGGTGAATGATCAGCCCTCAACATCAGAAAAACTGAGTCAGGGTTGGCTTTGTCCCCTGAAGTGTTCTCAGAGCCCGACATCTATAGCTGCCCCATAATTATATTCTAAGTAGAGCCTGGGAGATAAGTCGTGGATTTCTTTTTAAGTCAAAGGCCTTGCTGGGCATTCTACAATAATGGAAGAGCTTGTCCACACGCCTGGCCATCTTGACAGATCCAGCAGACATGAAGTTTCCAGATAGGGCAGAATGGACTTGGAAACATATAAAGGGGCTCTTGCCTCCAGTGCTGACCTGCCTCTAGTAATCAGTGGGACTGGGGGGCCCATTAGTCCATTTTACTTATATCATAATGCAAAAATTATCATTAAGATCCCTTCTAGTCTAAGGCTGTAATTTCCTATATTTAGTGATATTGAGACTACATCTGCTATACTGGCTTTAAGAGAAAGCAGCAAATCAACAGTTAAATATATACTGCATTCCTGCTTTAAAATGTTGCCATGTATCAAACCAAAAACAATTAAGCGGTTTTATAATAAAAAGAGATTATGTTAATATAGCCTACCTGGCTCAGCCCCAAATCATCCATCAGTATTCTGCTTTGCTCCAACTCACTGTCATGATGTTGAATCAAAAATAAGCTCGATATAGGAGTCGATGCAGAGCAAATTATGCGCACCTGAAATAGAGGAAAATGAGTAAATGGTGTTATTCTTTACATTTCACAAGTTGAAGGTAAGAACAAAACTCTCAAAAAATAGGAATCTTTCATAACAAGGAGCTTGGATTTTTTGCTTTTACAATGTTTATGGGTTTGTTCTTTTCCCCCTATACTGTCTCTTTAGAGTGGTATTTTTAAATTACATAGTACTTTTCTTTTTTTTTTAAGATTTATTTACTTATGGATACAGAACTGGGGTACAGGCCAGAGGTGGAGGGACGGTGAGAGGATTCACCAGACACAGAGTGGGGAGCAGAACAGGCAGATGGAGAAAGTACACTGCAGAGGGGAGCAGTGGGCGGGTCAGGAGAAGTCTGCCACACCATGTGGATCACCTCCAGGGCAGGTGGGGATTTAACTCATGCGGAAGTGGCTTCAGCTTTTTAGTGCAGTGCTTTAACCCGCTGCGCCACCAGGGAGGGCCACATAGTACTTTTCAAAAATTTCCACACTGCTTATTACCATCCTGCAAAGTAAGAAGAAAAACTTTAGGCCTGAGATGCCAACCCAGATCCTCCAGGTCTGAGCCAGGGGACTTTCCATCCCATCCTGAGGTAGATGATTATACCTGGCTGGGAGCCAGCCCTGAGCACATCCAAGCTGCTCCCCAGATGCACAACGAAGAGACCGCCACTCTGCCCCACAGGTGACTGCTAAGTTAAGTGATCGCTACTCCAATTACTCCTGAGTTTCCAGAATCTATATTTACATCAGCATACTGCTAAGACATTGTTCAAAAAGCCTCTCTCTGTTAATGTTTCTTGACTACATAAGTGTGCTTGAGTGTGCATATGTGATCCTATTGATATATTGGGCTATTTTTTGCCTTTATAAACTTTATGTCCACTAGTTTAAGTACAAAATCTATCCTTCTTGATGTTTAAGAGTCCTGAATCTATCTTCAGGCTTCACAGCAATCCTTTAAAAATCATTATTTAAACAAATATGTCAGTATTTTAAAAGAATGCACTGCCATTTGGGATTAGATTTTACATATTCAAATGGATGCCTGCTTCCTCATAAATTCTAATCACAAGTGACACTTTTTAAAAATTATTATTTCAATGGGAAGGCTTCTATTTCAGTAATTCCCATGATAACATTCTAGAAGAATGTCTGTTTAGTACTCCCCCAACTTCTGAAATAAAATAATTTTGACTGTTTAATTTAAATATTTTTTAAAGAATATAAACTGTAAATATGAAATTTAGTGAAAGTAAATGTTAGGAGACTCATGCTACCATATTGCCAGGTAAATAAACTTCTTTTTATTTAATTACGAAGGTGAATAGTAGAAGTAAGGTTAAGAGCTAGGACTGAGAGATAGGGGCCAGAAGCTTTCTCTAAGGTATTCTTAGCTGAAACATCAGGCAGTAAGTTTCAATCCACCAATATAAAAACCACTGACTAACCCTCTACCACTTTCTTCCTGAAGCATTAGCCCCCATAAACAGAGGGCCACCTTCAGGCTCACTCCCTTTACTCTAGCCCCCACATGGTTATTTCACAGCAGAGTCTGATGACCCAGAAGCAGACCCCTGATGAGTGATGGGACTTGAGCCCTGGTGTTCCCAGTTCCCAGCCTCTCTTCACTCTGACCACGTGTATGTCAGACCCACAAGAGCCCGCGGTAGGTTTGATGTCATCCACTAAGGCAGTGATATTTGTAGATACGCCACGGCCATAGGGGATGACCCACATGCTCTCACAGAGTCGGTAACACAAATTCCCCTTTCAACCTGCACCGGATTTCAGACATCACTTCTCAGTGTTGATAAAAAGCATTTGAGGAGCTCAGGAACAGACAGGTTCCAGGCCTCATCCCTGTTGCCCATTTGCAGAGATAGAAGTGGAGTGGGTTCTGGAATCCAGACCTTAAGTAGATGGTTCTAGAACAGGTGATTTTGGCAGGACTTCCCTGCGTCATCCTGAACCTGAGACGGTCAGCCTACTCTCCCTCAGGGCTCTCACTGCACCAAACTCTGTTTCCAAGAGGTCATCCCACAGTGTGACTTTGCACTTGTTTCCATGGGCATTAAGATGAATGAGTCTCTAATACTAGACTTTAAGCTCCATAAAACCAGGCACCACCTCTCACTTCATCATTGAATTTTCCACCGTGTTTGGTGTGATAAAGGCTGTTAAATGATTAAATTAATGACACATTAAAATCTTACCTTTCCCTCTCACCAGATACTGGTACTTATTAGGGTTAGGGGTATCTGGGTCATAGGGAAAGAAAGTTCTTTTACTGAGAAAAGTCCATGATCATTTGTTCTTTTGTTCATTCCCGATTTTATCAGTCCAACAACTTACTCATGCAAACAGATTTATTGAGCACTCAACCTAGGTAAGGAACTGTGTTGTACAACATCACAGACAGAGCACATGATGTGTCTGGATGACACTCATCAAGGGAGACTCCCGCTGCTGAGATGGCCACTGCTGCTCCTTGCCAGCACTCAGCTGGAGCCAGGCATTTTAAATGTTTACATAGATTAGCTTATCCTCACAAAAATTCTCTGAAGTACTATTATTATTCCTGATGTGCAAATGAGGAAAATGAGTCACAGAGTTATGAGGTAAGTAGTAGATGAAGAGTCCAGTCCAGGCAATCTGGCTCCACAGTCCAAAAAGGTAGAGTTTTGAGACAATGGATGGCATCCTTACCTTGAAATCATAGAAGTTATCAATGAGAGTTATAAATCTTCGAGCTTGAGTCCTTTTTGCCAATGAAAATTGTGGAATGTTTCGTAAAATCACTGTATCAAAATTCTTTGATAGTTCCAAATAGTCACTGGCTCCAAGTGGCTATAATTAAAGTGAAATAATATAGAAAATGAAAAAGCAAACAATCCTAGTTGCCCTTGGATTAGTTTAAGTTGAAAACACCCTTTTCCCTGTCTGGTATGAACTAGCTGGTACCTTTGGGGTCACTGGACCAAGTCAGGCAGTATTTTCTGAATAGGCTAAGAACAGAGTAGACTGAATTGTACTAATGTTGGAAAAAGGGAGTCAAGATATGAGTATGATGGGGTGTGACACTACCTCTTGCCACTTAAATTAAGGAACTTAGAGATCTCATCCTAAATCCAGTTTTCAATTTTTTAAATTTAAATCACATACTTTTAACCACATCCTAACACATTCTTCCCACAATTAATCTGCAGTCTCACAAATGTTGCATGGAGCGCTCTTATCACGGCATTCGAGACTTATGTCCCCTCCCCAGCTGCAGTATCTTGACCTCTGCACCCAGGGCCTGACTCCAACTCCTCTGCTCACCTCACCCATGTACAGGCTTGAACAGATGCATACAACATGTAGAGATACACATAGAGCTGTTTTATTATGGGTCTAACCTTGGCTCCCTTACAAGAACACCCTATTGTCCAGACTGATACAGGCCAGAAGCATGTGTTAACAGAGTAGCCACAACAAAGCCACAGATGTCTGGGTTCGAATCCTCACTGTTATTACCTGTGAGTCGTTGGCAAGGTCTGTAATATTTCAGTTCCTTCGGTCTGTCATCTTTAAAATGAGAATTTGATTCTATCTCACAGGATTGAGAATTAAATGAAGCAGGTAAAGCATTCAGTTCAGTGACCAGAACACACATTAACACTCCAAACATTTGACTGCTTTTTTTTTTTGGTTATTTCAGCTCAAATGGTTGGGCTCCGGACAATGAGGGGTAAAGAAATGTGATTTTCAACAGGACCAGTTAGTTTTGCTCCATCACTGACTACATCCCAAACCCTAAATCTGCTTTTGTGTATGTGTCTTCAGTGTCACAGGGACACCAGATGAGACAGAAAAATCTCATGTAGTGAAAACAAGTCCGAACGGGGGAGGGGAGAGGCAAGCTAGCGTGCCAGGTGAGGATAACTCAGACAAGGCGTTTGTGCTCTGAAAGTGACACACACTACTTTTTTGAGCTCAGTTGGTATTTACTGTCTCATCTTTTGCAAATCAGAAAGTATGGTGTAAAAAAAATGTATAATCGCATCTTCGGTATGTAGTTATGTGTAATTAAGCTCACTGTTTATGCATGGATGTGATTCCTATCAGTATAACCACATGCCCAAGGAAAATCATTATTAGAAGTGCACTGAAGTGTCTAGGGCAACTGAAAATCAGAATTTTGCCCACTCAGCTATTTTTACAAATTATATACCTTTGTCAGTAGGTTTTAAACTTGCCACTGTATTAGCAAATATCCCTTTCCTTCACATCCCTAAAACAACTGTGTGCTCACTCGCATAATGAAAACTAAGCTTAATAGCTCTCTTAAAAACAACAGTCATGGGGGGTGGTGAGTTACTATATAATAGATCCAGTTTCAGTGTGGAGTGATAAAAAAGTTTTATAAATGGAGGATATGGATGGTCACACAAACAATGTAAAAATAGGTCACTGAACTACACACTTAAAACTTATTAAAATGCCTAGTTTTATGTTATATATTATTTTACCACAATAAGCAATTAAAACAAAGAAAGGTTATTATTTAAAGGTTATTATTTGCCAAAGAAACTCCAATTTAGATCATGGAGAGTAATATATCTATAGTCACATTTTTGCTTTATAAACTTAGGAGGGAAGCAAAAATAAATAAATAAATAAAAAGAAAAAAAAAGGCGAGAAAGAATGAAATGAATTAGCTGAAGAAGGAAATCTTTTCCCAAAAGAACTCAGTTTCAATAAATTTAAGATTAATTTAAAATATGAAGGCTTTTTTTTTTTCCAGTAGATACTTGAAGAGTGTGTTTCTCATGCTGGTTTCAAAGTTGAAGTGACACTCAAACACATTTTCAAGATTAAATTTGGTGAGACATGAAGGGGGTTTCTTATTCATCAAAGAAGTTATTTTTCATAATTAAATGAGTTCAACAGTTTTGGGCAAAATTACCACAGAAACTTTGGAGCCACTGGCTTGTCACTTCCAGTTCTGTGACCTTGAGCAAGACTCTCTGAGCTTCCTTTACTCACCCACCAACGGGGTATCAGAACAGAATCTGCCTTATCGGTCTGCCTGGAGGATTCCAGGTGTTCACTACACATGTAAAATCAAAGTGTAATGTTATCTGTAGATAACATGTAAAATTTTATAACACAGGGCTGTCTCAGAATAAGTGCTGAATAAATGTTAATTTACAGAGAACACGTGAGATGTGAACAGAATAATCTATGTGCAGACAAGACATTTAATTTGGCAGACAAGACATTTAATACACAGTTTCTTTTCTTTTTTTTTTTTTAAATACCCTTTCCTCAGTTCATGAGGTCAGCAGCCTGAACAGCAATGAGTTCAACTGACTTCATCCAGCCTCTGTCACTGTACTCAGGAGGTCAGGCTTGCTTCGCCGGTCCTTCCTTCTTTGTCCACCAAATTTTCTGCCCTGTGGCCAATAAGCCCTCCATGAAGTCATAGGCAGATGACAAAAATAACTTCTGCCTAAGGCCCTCTCCCAACTATGTGTCATTTGGTAATCCCAATAGCACCACATGTGAGGGGAGGGGAGAAAGACCCACGTGAGAAAAGCCCCACACCCAATACATGGCATAAAGGAATTATTCAAAGGAATTTTGAATTACTGAGTGATTGTATGGACAAAACACAAATTAACTGGGGACAGTTCTATTCCTTTTTCATTTTTTAAAGATTTATTTATGCATACAGAACTGGGGTATAGACCAGAGGTGCAGGGGGTGAGAGGGTTCACCAGAGACAGAGTGGGGAGCAGAGCAGGCAGATCTACTGAAATACACTGTGGAGGGGAGCAGCGGGCGAGTAGGAGAGGTCTGCCGCGCCATGTGGGTCAGCTCTCTAGCCAGGGATCAAACTCTTGCTGCAGTGGCGGCGACAGACCTGTGCCACCAGGGAGGGCACTATTCCTATTTTCTTTTCCCTAGTTGGCCCAAATTCCCTACCTTCACTTGCTTTGTTGTATATTCCAGTACATATTTAGGAAATTGTCTAGAAAAATATAGAACAAATGTTAGCAATGATTGCTGGGTGGTGGTATAAAAGGTGAATTTTGTACCTTTGCTTTACTTTCTAAACCTCCTGCTCCCACCTCCAGTGAATTTGTATGACTTTCACACAGCAAAGCAATAATGCTTTCTTTGGAAGCCATTTTTATAATGCACATATTAATATTTACATCTCACCTGTGTGAGATCATAACACAGTTTTGACATGGACATTTCTTTTTTTCTGTTTTCTTAAATCTGTTGAAGTAGAATCTTTTTCAGGGAAATTCAAAAAGAGACATACATTGTCTATTTTAAAGTTTGACAAAAGGATAAAAAACTTGATATCTGGGATGAAATCTGACTTTAGTTATATGTTCACAATCAATGAATGATTTTCACAGGTGGGCAGCAAGAAAGAGGGAGGGGATGGGGCAGAAAAATGAAATTCCTAAAGACTCCAGTTAGACCCCACAGCTAAGCATTGGAGTACCTCAGACCAAAGACCTAGTTCAGGTCTCCCCTGCTATCTAAGCATAGGACACTCCTATTTGGTATGACTTAATACATTGTGTTCATGGGTCTGGAAATGCTGATACCATTATTTTACATGAAGAAATTTTTGAGCACTCCCAGGCCCCAAAAATAACACCAAGTTATACCCAATGGGATGTTCTACCTTCAGAGAGTGGGAGAAACCAGTAATAGCAAAATCTATATCACAGCTAGGTTGATATGCTTCCATTTATATGATGTTTTAATTTCACCAATTTTTCTCTAATGTAAGTTTGATGATTAGCATGTAGTTAATGCTCATTTTCTCCCCAAATATCACACAATATTCTGTCTCAATTCCTCCTCTTCCACTCTAAATGATGGCTCAATTTCGTGTTCTCCTCTTCTTTAACTTTCTTTTGTAGCTTTCTTTGTTACTTCTTCACAATTCATTTTAGTTTCCGCTCACCTACATTCTAGTCAGTATGCTTCACCCTAGCTGTGTTTTATCTGCTTGAAATCTCATCTACTGAGTTTTTAATTTTGATCAATATACTTCACAGTTCTAGAATTTTAATTTGTTCTTTTTCAAAACAGATATCTATCCCTTTAATACTCTCTAGATCCTTACGTTAAAATTTCCAAGTCTAGCTTTTTTTAAAAAAATCTCTTTGGGCCCGCCATGGTGGCACAGCAGGTTAAAGCACAGCACTAAGAAGCTAAAAACCACTTCTGCATGAATTCAAGCCCCGCCTGCCCCAGAGGTGACCACATGGCATGGCAGACCTCTCCTGACCCGCCCACTGCTCCCCTCAGCATTGTACTTCATCGATCTGCCTGTTCTGTTCCCCACTCGGTCTCTGGTGAAGTCTCTCACAGCCCCTGCACCTCTGGCCTGTATGCAGCTCTGTATGCAATAAATAAATCTTTAAAAAAAAAAAAACTCTTTGAATATGTAACCCTAGTTATGTAAAATATGGCCTCATAATCTTAATATATAGAGTTCCTAATTTTATTTATTGATTTTTATTTTTCTCACAATGTTGCGTCTCTGAATTTGTTTGTCTTTCTGTACTTAATTTTATATTTGAAAAAAAGAACTTGTGGGAAAAAGGTCCGAACTCAAAGAGTGAAGTATGCTAAGCTACAAGGCTCACACAACGTTTGGCTGAAGTCCCGAAATAGCTGGTCTACTTCTGGTTCACACAATCCTAGAATGCAGTCCCTCAGGTCTCTATCCAAAATGGGTGATAATTTTCTTGCTGCCCATCCTTCACTAGCCTCAGTCTCTGATTTTTGTTCACTAACCCAGTTATGCTGTCAAAGGAAGCTCAGTTCAG